CCACTCTGGGGATATACCCAAAAGACTGTGACACAGGTTACTCCAGAGGCACCTGCACACCCCATGTTTATTGCGGCACTATTCACAATAGCCAAGTTATGGAAACAGCCAAGATGCCCCAGCACTGACGAATGGATTAAGAAAATGTGGTATCTATACACAATGGAATTTTATGCAGCCATGAAGAAGAACGAAATGTTATCATTCGCTGGTAAATGGATGGAATTGGAGAACATCATTCTGAGTGAGGTTAGCCTGGCCCAAAAGACCAAAAATCGTATGTTCTCCCTCATATGTGGACATTAGATCAAGGGCAAACACAACAAGGGGATTGGACTAATGAGCATATGATAAAAGCGAGAGCACACAAGGGAGGGGTGAGGATAGGTAAGACACCTAAAAAACTAGCTAGCATTTGTTGCCCTTAACGCAGAGAAACTAAAGCAGATACCTTAAAGCAACTGAGGCCAATAGGAAAAGGGGACCAGGAACTAGAGAAAAGGTTAGATCAAAAAGAATTAACCTAGAAGGTAACACCCACGCACAGGAAATCAATGTGAGTCAATGCCCTGTATAGCTATCCTTATCTCAACCAGCAAAAACCCCTGTTCCTTCCTATTATTGCTTATACTCTCTCTTCAACAAAATTAGAGATAAGGGCAAAATAGTTTCTGCTGGGTATTGAGGGGGGGGAGAGGGAGGGGGCGGAGTGGGTGGTAAGGGAGGGGGTGGGGGCAGGGGGGAGAAATGAACCAAGCCTTGTATGCACATATGAATAATAAAAGAAAAATGAAAAAAAAATAAACTTAGAGATAAAAAAGGAATATTAAAACAACACTTGAAATCTAGAGGATCATTTGGAATATTTTTAAAACTTACACTCAGATAAATAGAAAAATTTAGAAAATATTGATAAACTTCTAGACACATGTAACATTACTAAAAATTAAACCAAGAGTATATAGAGCAGTCTTTAGTAAGCAATGCGACTGAAGCAGTAGTATACCAAACAAAGAAAAGCTCCAGCCTGGATGGATTCACTACTGAATTCTTCCAGACCTTTAAAGTACTACCACCAATACTCCTCACAGTATTCTTAACATAGAGAGGGAAGGAATGCTTCCAAACTCATTCTATGATGCCAGTATTACCCAGATACCAAGCCAGATTATGACAACAATAAAAAACTGTAGCCCATTTTCCCTGATCCACATAGATGCAAAATTCCTCAATAAAATAGTTTCAAACCATTTTCAACAATACATTAAGATATTATACACCAAGATCAAATTGGTTTCATTCCAGGGATGCAAGAATGGCTCAAACCAATAAATGAAATAGAGCATATAAATAGAATCAAGACAAAAGTCACATAAGTTTCAATAGATGCAGAAAAATTCTTTTACAAAATTCAACATTCTTTTATGATAAAAGCCCTGAAGAAACACAGAAGAGGGACCATAGCCTCACACCCAGTAAAGGCATGAATAACCACATTTACACTGATTGGGGAAACCCAAAAGCATTTTCTTTAAAATGAGGAATGAGACAATGCAGTTCACTCTCTCCACTCTTATTCAATATAATGTTTGAGTTCTTAGAGCAATACAGTAAGATAAAAAATAAAATGGTAAAAACAAGAGAAGAAGCGGTCAAAGTATCCCTGTCTATAGACCCTAACAGCCGTTAACAGAAAACTTTTGACTGATAAAGTACTTTTGACAATATAAAAGAATAAAAATTTACATACAAAACATAAGTAGGTTTTCTATATGTCAACAACAAACATGCTAAGAAAGAATTCAATAAAAAATCCTACTCAGAATAACCTAAAAAAACCAAAACCCTGGGGCAAAAAAAAAACCTAACCAAGGAGGTGAAAGAACTATACAATGAAAACTATAAAAATTAAAGAAATTGAAGAAGACATTAGATGATGGAAAGAGCTTCCATGTTCATTGATTGGCCGAATTAATATTGTGAAGATAGCCATATTCCAAACTGATCTACATATATCAATGTAATCCTCATCAAAATTCCACTGAGATTCTTCACAGAAATAGGAAAACAATCATAAATTATATTGGAAGCACAAAAGACCCAAATGGCCAAAGCATATCCTGAACAAAAAGAAGCAATGCTGGAGGTGTCGCTTACTTAATTACAAATTATCCTACAGATCACAGTAACAGAACCAGAATGGTGCTGTGGGAAGACTGATGGGATCAAGTGAGGACCAGAATAAACCCATGTAGCTAAACCATCTGATGCTTGACAAAGGTATGAAAAACATATGTTAGAGAAGAGTCTCTTTAACAAACGGTTGCTGGGAAACTGGGTTCCACAAAGCAGAAAGTCTAAATTAGATCCCTACCTCTTTACCCTGTACAAAAATCAACCCAAAATGGATCAAGAACCTTAGGCTTTTGTTTTGTTTTGACAACATTGGAGTTTTGACTCAGGGCTTTACACTGCTAGGTAGGCCCTCTGTCTCCAGAGTTGCTCACAGCCCCTAAATCAAAGATCTTAATGTAAGATGCAAAACCTTGAAACTATTAGAAGATTAACATAGGGGAAAACACTTTAAATATAGGCATAGGCAGATAACTTTCAATATAGGACTCCAACAGCTCAGGAAACAATAGCAAGAACTGACAAATGGAATTGCATCATATCAAAAAGCTCCTACATAGAAAAGGAAATAATTCCAGAGTGAAGACACAGCCTACAGAATGAGAGAAAATTTTGCCAGCGTAGACATTTGGGCAGAAAGTTAATATTCAAGAACTCACACCAAAAAAAATCCTGCTGGACCTGGGTTACATGCCTTTAATTCCTGCCCTCAAGAGGCTGGGGGAGGAGGACAGAGAGATTGAGGGCAGCCTGGCTACTGGTAAGAACGTATTTGTCTCAAAACAAATAAAAATTAAACACCAAATAAATAATTTGCAATCAAAAATGTGCAAATGATTTGGACATTTCTCAAAAGATGTACAAATGTTTTAAAAATACATGAAAAAATGTTCAACATCATTAGAGAGATGCAAGTCAAAATTACATTGAGATTCCATCTCACCTTATTCAGAAGGACTCCATCAAGAAACAAGCAACAATAAATGCTGGTAAGAATGCCAGGGAAAAGGAGCACTAATACACTGTTGGTGGGGGTTGTAAATTAGTCCAGCCACTATGAAAATCGTGCAAGGTTCCTCAAAACATTAAAAACAGAACTACCAAATGAGACAACTATCACTTATGGATATAAGCCCAGAGGAATCAAAATCAGCATACAAAAGAGACACCTGCATGCCTGTGTTTACTGTAGCACTATTCACAATAGCCAAGCTATGGAATCAGCCTAGGTGTCCATCAACTGATAAATGGATAAAGAAGTGTGGTATATCTACAGAAGAGGTGAAGAAAGAATGAAGTGATGTCAGTTCCAGGAAAACGGATGGAAACTGGAGGTCATCACATCAAATGGAATAAGCCAGACTCAGAAATACAACACTGTGCATGTTCTCTTTCATATGTAGAATCTGGATTTAAAAAAACATCATGAAAATAGAAGGGGGACAGTTTGGGAAGAAAGGGATCATGTGAGTGGCAGGGGAACAAGAGAATGTAATGGGAGATGAATATGTAGTACATAAGCTAACATATACATAAAACAATAAATTCATTATTTTGTACAATTAATATCTGCTAATAAAATATAAAGTATGAGCATAATGGAGTAGTCTTTATTCATTGGTCATATATTTTAATTTAAATCTGAAGTACAGCAAGGTCCAGCCAGTGTACCTATTTAACTGTGTGCTTGAAATTCACATTTCCAACCAGGCAGGAGTCTATCCTAAAATGGGTGGTTCCATAGTAAATTTGATAGTTTTCATTTTTAAATTTTGATAGCACATTAGCATTTCATGTAGGAGAAAGTTGATGTGTCTTGTGTATAAATGTAGTTTCATATTTATAGCATATAGAGACAATATTAATTTATTTCATTATTATCTCTAGTACTGCTGTTTGAACTCAGGTCTTGTGCTTTGCTAGGAAGGCACTTGAACCATGCCTCCAGCCTTTTTGCTTAGTTATTTTATCAGACCACTTGCATTTTTGCCTGGGACTGATCTTGGATCATGGTATGTTCTTTGCATAGTTGGAGTGATATGCATCACTTCTCCTGGTTTACTTTTGAGATGAGTTCTTGCTAACATTTTTTCCCTGGCTGCGCCTCAAATCACAATCCTCCCAATCTCCACTCTCAGATAGGCAGGGATTACAGGAGTATAACCAATGCTTCTGTCTCATTATTTATTTATTTATTTACTTATCTATTCATTTAGAAATGGTGTCTTGCTGTGTTCCCCAGGCTGTCCTCAAACTTGTGATCCTCTTGCGTCAGCCTCCCAAGTAATTGGGATTATAGGTACATGCCACTGTGCCACATAGTAATTTTATATTGTAGTTTATATCACTGATGTTTTTTAATGCGATGAGACATTAACTGTCATTACTACATTAGGTACTTCAGAATATTAATTTAAAATACTTATTTATTTCATTGCAATATTTATGTAAAATAGTAAAATACCTTTTACCATGTTAATAACTTAATTTAAATGTATGAAAGTCTATGGGTTATCAGGTAATTAGGTTCATATGCGTGTTGACTCTGCTTTAACTGCTCCCTGGTTTACAAGGGTGTGATTAGGCTGAATTAACCATACAATAAACTGATAACTAGAAAAACAATATATGTACCTGTTTGTGCAAAATTATGAAAACTCGAGACTATTACTGATCTAATGAATCTAAGATTAGAGTACCAACTGATAAGAAAGCTGCAGCCAACTAAAGGAGGCGTTCACTTCTTTTTTTTTTTTTTAAGTACTGAACACAGAGAAGAGAGACAAACACAGAAACAGCAATAGACAGCAAACCAGAGGGCAAACCCACACACCCACACACATGCAGTGTACCATCGTCTCGCATACTTGTTGCGGAAGAGGGGGTGTTGCAACTCAGCAGCCATTCTGCTGTGTTTAACACAGTCATGTTGTCCCCTGAGAACAGGAACAGCATTAAAAGTTCATTGTCTGAGGCCTGCTGAGTGTGTGAGCAATCTTCAATGCTGGCACTGGTTTCTGACCTTTTAGCAAAATATCTCTACTGTATGTCCTCTACATTTTAGTTTACCAGGTCTGTTTTAGTTCAGTGAAATGTATGTAGCGGATGATGCATGAACTTCAAGGTCTGCTTTCACAGTGCTGGGGCTTTTTGGTATTATTTGTACTCAATTTTAAGTCTAAATGTAAGTGTTCTTTCTCCAGTAATCACGACTAAATAGTCTTATAATATTTGCAATCTCATATCCGTTTATTAGCTGAAATTATAGATGCAAAGACAAATAAACACTGTAAACAAGGAAAATGTTAATCTACGAAGGATTGGGGGTAAAACATCATTAAATACAAGGTAAGTTGCAATGCACACAACTTGACAAAGAATTATATAGATTGCAGTTATAGTAAATGGGAATGGTATTAAATGGTATATCAATTTCATAGATGTTTGACTAAAATTGAAAAGAAAATATGATGTGGCAAATGCTGAGGTCTGGCAATTTAAATAGTTCACAGAGTGGAACAAATTTCATGTAAGTTCTATTGTATTGTCTAGACTAGAGCTACAAAATTTCAGTGATGGCGAATAATTTAAAATACAAACTTTGTATCATATATGTGTGTATATATAATGGTCTCTCTCTGTATACATAATCTGACATAAGAATTGGATCTATGTCCGGACAAGTTGAATGCATTTTATAAAAACAATTAAAGCAGAATATTGAGTAATAACTGTTATTTTTATAATAAGTTTTTGGCATAGTTACGACCTAATAAAATATGAAAGTATATAGAAAAATGAAGTTCCTTTTAAAATAAATGCTAGGCACTATGGTATTATTCTCTTTGAAAAGAAAATACAGCAGATATAAATATTTTAGTATTTCTAAAACCATTTGTAAGAAAAACTTTTATGACAAAATTTGAGGTAACATTTTTTACAACTGAAAATAAAAACAAAAGTGGCATGTATATGTATACACAGACACGCAGTACAGCGGGGCAAATCCTTTGCCCGCAACTTCTAATTTCTGCAGGATGTTTACAAGGGAAGTTTGGGACTATCTGTTCTCTCTGAATGTTTCTGGTTATAGAGGAAAACAAATTTCCAGAAAAATCAGCAGAGTACTTAATCACATTTCTAAGTTACAATGCTGATTATGGCATTCATAATAAGATACTCATTTATTAGCAGACCTGTAATGTGACATGAAAGCAAACCTTGAGATGTGATTCTGGGTCTCTTTAGTGTGGCACACTTACCTCCTGTCCCGTTTGTAGTGACTGATGTGCTGCTGAGACTGGATTTATCCAGTTTGGAAACTACCATGAGTATCACTACTTCCAACAAGAGTGTGGAGGACTTGCTAGGTCCTGCATTTTCCATAAGACCTGTTAGAGCGGGAAGCACAGAATAAAAGTTGAAATTTTCAGCAATTATTTCTTAATAGTTAGATGTTGCTATTTTACTTAGTATGCATGTGAGCTCACAATAATAACTGTAACTTCTTACCAGGTAATGATGCCAGTTCATGGAAAAAAAAAAGTAAACAAGAAAAACTTCCATATGAACCATGAAGAGTTAGTCCCTATGATTTGTTTTTTATTCACAATTTTACAACTATTGCCCATAAAATAGTTTATTTCCATAAAATAATGTAAAGAGAAAAGCAAGATTCTGTCACTCTGGTGTTTCAGTTGACAACGTACATCCAAAAATGTTCAATTTCTAGAATCTTGGCATCCCCTACCACCACTGAATAGAAAATTCAGTAGCCAGAAATAACTGCGAATTCAAAACCTCAGCAGAAGCTTCTAGCTGACCCTGTTGACCAAATGGCTAGAAATGAAGCCTGGGGTTTCATTCAGGAATAAGAGACTTTGACATATATTTGTTTCAGAGACTGTGCTAGAAATTGAGACCTTAAGAAGAACTGGATTCTTGAAAGATCAACCCTCTTCTGAAAAATGAAACAAAAAAAAAATTGCTCATGCATGTGTTCATGAAAGAAAGGAAACGTGTAAATAACAACAAAAGTGAGGATATTTGTCACTAATGACCTGAACAATAAAAATATGATAGGAATATTTCACCTGAAGAAAGAATACCAATAAAAAACTAAGGCCTACAGGAGGGAAGAAGCATAAAACTAATGTAAATACATTGGTAAATGAAAGGTTATCAAATAGCAAAGACTAATTCATGAAAGTAGCAAAAATAATTACGTTATATTGTTAGATTATAATATGGCATAGGTAAAATAATAGAAAACAGTTAAAACTAGTAAGTGAAAATTAATATTTTGTAAAAGTTTTTCTATTTGCATTAGGCATTTACTAAGTTTAAGAATAAGAAGTAAGTTTTATAATTATAAAGTAAACTCCATACCTATTAAATGTTAACAAAGAAAAATGCCAAACAACTATCACAAAAAACAATAGAATAATTAAAAGAACTTTAAAAATCATTAATTCTAAAGAAGTAATGGAAATGAAAAGAAAGAAATAAAAGCATATGAGAAGAATGGAAAATGCACAGCTGGTACACTCAAAACCTAAACTCCATTGATAATTACACTTAATATCAATGGACTCAACATTCCAATGAAAAGTCCATTGGAAGATTGTACACTGGATTTACACAACCAAGACCCAGGGGGATCTTTGGATCTATATAGGGGATCTATAATGACATCTGAAATAATAAGTGCACTGCTGTGGTATATAATGCACTGTGGCAGACATCCAGATCTAGAACTGAAGAACTCATTCTTTAGCTGCTGGACTGCTGGTAGCCAGCTCTCAACTGAATTTCTTTCAGGACTTGCCTTCAACTAAAGAGAGTCATTGTGGCCAACATCCAATCCTTTCCTGGGGCTGGCCCTTTGTCTAATGATTGGTCAATGTAGGGATAAAAAACTATGCCCTCCAGCCTTAAAGGTTCACCCTAGTCTAGGGCATTCTGTAAGATCAGCTGAGCCCTTTGTTGCAATTTTCTAATGGATCACTGTTTCTCATTCCAATCCTGCTTCCTTCATTCCCAAGGTTATAAATATTTTGAGCACAACCCAATAAACTCCTGCAGACAAATCTCCATCCAGTGTTTGCTTTATGGAATCTCAAACAGTGGTGAGCTCCAAGTAGGTTGAAGGTAAAAAAAAAAAAAGCCAGAAAAATGATATATATTGCAAATAACAAAATGTACAAAAATCTTTAGGCTATAATATTATACAGAGCATGGGCCACAAGAATAAAGAGTATTCACATATATAAAGAGATAAATTAGAAAATGATGAATAAAAATTCTTTCAGAAGGCATAACAACCTTGAATGTGTATGTAACCTATACAGCAGAGCTTCAAAATACACAAAACAAAAGCTGCCAGAATTAAACAAAGACAATAGACAAGTTTAATAATCATAGTTGGAGCTTTTATAATGTGCTTTCAAGTAAGTCATATAAAAACATAGACAAGAAATAAATTTTTTAAAGTATATACTGAACATTATTAAATCACCAGTGTGACCTAATTGACATTTACAGTGAAAATAACAACCAATAGCTATGGAACAACACATTATTTTCAGGTTGTACATGGAACAACCAACAAAAAGGACTGGTTTGCTGTTCCTATAGAATAAATAGCAATAGATTTTCAAATTAAAACCTCATAGAGTATTGTAATTTGACCACAGTGGATTAATTTAAAAACCAATGGCAATACTGAGTGTAATAAAAAAATCTCCAACATTAATCTACCAGTCGAAAAAGGAATTCACAAAATAATGTAAATGTAAAATATATAGGACAAAAAGATAGTAAAAATACATCAAATCAAAATATGCCAAATAAAGTAGTGAATAATGAGAAATTTATACCTTTAAAAGGGTTATAATAGAAAAGCAGAAGAATTAAATCTGTGATATGAGTTTCCACCTTAAAAAACTAAATTGCTGGTAGAGTGGGTTCAAGTGGTAGAGCCCCTGCCTAGCAATGTGAGGCCCCTAGTAGAATAAGTAATAAAGAGACAGTAAGAAGGAAATAAATAAAGAGCAGAATACAGAAATCTGCAAATCAAAGAAGTTATTAACTGTATTACTAATATCAAAAGGATAAGGGAATATTATTATATTATCTTGCCAATTAATTTAAATCCAGTAATAAAAAGAAAAATATGTCATGACCAAGTATGGTTTATTTGGAAATGCAAAAGAGATATTATATTTAGAAATCAATATAATTCAATATATTAATAGATATTATTCCCATGGGTGCAAAAAAGACAAGATTCATTATCCACTCAGACAAATTCTTGGCAACTAGAATGTAGCATTTTCCATTATCTGACAAAACCTCTCTTGAAAAATCTGCAGCTATCATATGCAATGAAGAAATATTGAATTCTTTCATAAAGAAGACAATGATGTCTGCCTTACTCTTTGACACAATTATTTTACTGGCATTCTTAGCCAGTACAAGACAAAAATAAATGATTAAAAAGGGAAAAAGTTATTGGTTTAGAAAAAAATACTTTAATTCATATCTGACATAACGTGTTTGTAGAAAATTTTAAGACATCCATCAAAAGAATCAAAGCTAACTAGAAATTATGAGTGAACTTACCAAAGTTAAATGTGTAAGGACTTTGCCAGTGCTAAATAAAACATGAACTAAAACATCTTTAGCCTTCTGTCAGTATACATCTCACTTCAAACACTGAAATATCACAATGGTGTTGCTGAGGTAACTGAAATTTGGGCTGTGTGTGATCCACTTTTGGTTCAGCTCAACTCTAGGGGGCTCTGAATGATCAGACCCTCACATTAACTGCAGGGCAGAAGAAAGAACTTGTTCTCTTGGGGTAATAAAACAAAACAAAACAGAAATATTATGCCTTCAGTCTCTACTGATTGTTTTTTATATAGTGTTCAGAATAACACAGGCATTGTGAGAGATAAGAAGGAGGAAATGTGACTCTTAAGTGGAGAAAAAAATACAGTAAATAGAAGCAGGCCTATATTGTCCCCAAGGTTTGGAATAGCAGACAGAGTAAGATGAGCCTCCATGGTGGACACACAGTCTACACATGCATCATCAGCCATTGTTACTGCATGCAACTCTACTGGGGAAAACCAAAATTAATTCCTGTACTCTTGTCCTATATGCCTTTTCCTTTTGGTGATTTCAATTTGTATCCTAATTGCCATAATTACACACACACACACACACACACACACACACATCCCTATTCGGAGATTTTAGAGACCTTCTAGCCAATCACTGAGTCCAAGGGTGATCTTGCA